ATGGACATCGCCGCTGGTCCGGAGACTCTGGCCCTGGCAGCCACCCCGCTCGAGCCGATCTTTGTCGAGCGGATCGGGCAGACAGTGGTGGGCGTTGGGGCCAAGTACGTGAGCGCGGGTTTGTCGCTGGTCAACGACTCCGCCTCATACGATCTTGATGGTCTCAACGGCGAGGAGGCCGCAGCCATTCTCCGGAACCAGCAGGCAGCGCTGGCCGAGGGCCTCGGCTTGGGTTCGCGGGCGGACGCGTGGTCGGCCGACGCGCAGAAGTCCTCGCAGGTGCTGGCCCGCCTCGCCAACGACACGGACGCGAAGCGCGCGCTGGCGACCCTCCGTAAGTCTGCGCAGGCGGCCGCGGAGGAGGAGGGCGTCTTCGCTTGCTTCTCCCCGTCGCTGACCACCTACATCGGCGGGGCGCGCCCCGACCCGAGCCACGAGTCGCGGGTGAAGTCGTTGCGTGAGCACGACGAGCAGTCGGAGGTGGTCGCAACCTCAAGACCACGGTGCGCTCCGCCACCAAGGGGTTCGCCATCGTGCTGGCGCAGCTCAAGGACGCGAAGGGCGTCTCCTCGCTTGCCCGCGCCATCGAGCAGGCAGCGGCCGCCGTGCCAGTCATCAGCGCAGCTCTGACTGCGGGGCAGCTGACGACTGGCGACGTCTCCGCCCTCGGCGCGATCAGCCCCTCCGTCACCGAGGCAGTCAGCGAGCTCGTGGACAAGGCAACCGCTGCCGGCACGTGCGCCGAGGACATCGCCGCTGCTGTGGACGTCCGCCCGTTTTTCGCCGGCGTTCGGGCCTGATGGACCTCGGAGTTCAAAGTCGCGGCACCCAGCTGCCGGACGGCGGCCGCCTCCTTTTCCTGGCGCGTCATCAGCAGCGCCTGGGGGGGGCCGCCGCTCCGCCTGGCTGGGGTAAGCCCGCGCCGCTCCCTGTAGAAGCGCCAGGGGCCGCGTGCGGGCTGCGACCTGCGCGCGGGCCGGCCTCTGGCGCGCTTGAAAAGGCCCCCTCCTTGCCGGTAGTCCCAGGCAAGGGCGGTGGCTCGTCGGCGGGCTAGGCCGCGGCGCGGACGCGGTCAGTCGGCCGGGGTCGCCGCCAATTCGAGCTGCACGTCTCGCTGCCTGGCCTCGGGCGCGCCTGCTTCCCCGCCCGTCGGCCCCGCCGGCGCCGGCGGCGTCCCCCGGGCAGCCGCGTCCTTGCAGCGTGGCGCCACCTAGGAGATTCGACAGGTGCAGCGCCGCTTGCTAGAGTCAACTTTTTATGGTAGTGGTAGTAGTCATGGTAGTCGTAGTAGGCGTAGTCGTAGTCGTAATAAGCGGCGTAGGCGTAGTTGTAGTAGTCGTAGTAGTCGTAGTAGTAGCCGTGGTAGACGTAGTAGTAGTAGTAGTAGTAGTTGTAGTAGTAGTCGTCGTAGTAGTACTAGTCGTAGTGGTAGTAGTAGTAATAGTAGTAGTAGTAGTAGTAGTAGTAGTAGTAGTAGTAGTAGTAGTAGTAGTAGTAGTAGTAGCACTAGTACTAGTACTAGTAGTAGTAGTAGTAGTAGTAGTAGTAGTAGTAGTAGTAGTAGTAGTAGTAGTAGTAGTAGTAGTAGTAGTAGTAGTAGTAGTAGTAGTAGTAGTAGTAGTGTAGTAGTAGTAGTAGTAGTAGTAGTAGTAGTAGTAGTAGTAGTAGTAGTAGTAGTAGTAGTAATCGTAGTAGTAGTAGTCGTAGTCGTAGTCGTAGTAGTCGTAGTCGTAGTAGTCGTAGTAGTCGTAGTAGTCGTAGTAGTAGTAGTAGTAGTAGTAGTGTAGTAGTCGTAGTAGTAGTAGTAGTAGTAGTAGTAGTAGTAGTAGTAGTAGTAGTAGTAGTAGTAGTAGTAGTAGTAGTAGTAGTAGTAGTAGTAGTAGTAGTAGTAGTAGTAGTAGTAGTAGTAGTAGTAGTAGTAGTAGTAGTAGTAGTAGTAGTAGTAGTAGTAGTAGTCGTCGTGGGGGTCATAGTATTCGTAGCCGGAGCAGGAGAAGGATTCGGAGTAGGAATCGGTTTAGCCAGGTCGCGCGAGTCAGAGGGCCCCGCCAACTCCCACCCTCCCTTTAATATCATGGTGATGCGTTGTGGCGCAACTTTGTATCGGGATTGGACCGCGTTCCCACCCAGCGAACGGAAGGCCGCGCAGGGGCGGGAACGGCAACATTTCCGATGAACGCGGCGAACATGAAGCACGCGCCGCACCGACAGCACCTGCATTGTTGTTCGCAAGCTGCGCGGCGCATTTCGCCTGCTCTCGTGCGGCACCGCTGCAGCTGCGGCGCTCGTGCGACTCGGCCGACGAACTACGCGCTGCGCTCGCGCGGGAACCGGACGTCCGAGCGACGTGTGCACGGAATTGGGGCGAGGGCGACCAGTCGCCCGCCCGCGCGGGGCCCAAATTTGCGCGTGGAGCGCGCCCACCGCCCCGAAGCGGGAACGCCCTTTTCTGGCGAAGTCCGCGCGTCCGCTCGCGCGTCGAGGAATTGGGGCATTAAACACAAAAAAACGCACCGCGCCCCAGCAGCGGAAACCCAACGTGCTGGACAAACGTCTGCGACGTTTGGTCGAGAGCGGCGTTTCGCTTTGCCACGTGGCATGAATGTGCGTTCCGCCCCCTGTTTGACACACTTTCAGCAACGTGGGCGGCATAGTGCCCATGCTGGAAGCACTAGTATGCACGGTGCGTTTTCGTTGCTCGAGTATCCAGTAGGACGGACCCCTCGATGTGGCTCGCCATCGGCCGCCTAGGTAGCAGTGTGGGAGCATATACGAAGAAGGACTAAGGACATGGGAGGCAGGAGAGGGAGGAGGAGGTCCTCCATCTCCTTCCCCTCCCCCTGATCTTCCGCCTTTTCCACTCCGCCGTCATCTCTCCTCCGTTTACGTTGCCGCTGGCGTCTCGTCGTCCTGCTTGCTATCGTCGTCGTTGCCGTCGTCGTCGTCGTCGTCGTCGTCGTCGTCGTCGTCGTCGTCGTCGTTGTCGTGATCGTCGTTGTCGTGGCCGTCGTCGTTGTGGGTCGTCGTCGTGGGCGCGTGCCGACTGCAGTGCAGCAACCTGCTGCTCGACAGCGCGAACCGCGTGAAGATCTCGGACTTCGGCTGCTCCCGCTGGATCGGCTCCCAGGACAACGCGAGGACCTTCGTTGGCAGCCCGTGGTGGCTGCCCCCAGAGCTGCTCGGGGGCGAGCCCTACAACCACTCCGCGGACATCTGGTCTTTTGGGTGCTCCGTGATCGAGCTGCTCACAGGGAGGTCTCGAAGAAAGAATGCAGTGGACCCGCACTGTAAGGATGGGCAACCTTCCCAAAGGTACCCTTGCATCCTTGCCTCCTCGGTCCATCCTCGGCCACTTTCGTTTGCCTGTCCCCGCTCGAAAAGCTTCGGGATGGGCGTCCAAGGCCCTTGCATCCTCATCGCGCATCTTTATGACACGGGCCGACTGTAACTGCACAGAGCATTCGGAGGTCTGCGTCGATCTCTTGGATCGGCGCTGAAGCCTCTTCCCTGGCGCGCGGAGAGCGCCAGAGGCGGCGCCAGAGGCGCCTCCAGAAGGGCCCAACGCCGATCCCAGCGGCCCGCGCGGGCCGCCAGGAGTTCCTGCTCGTGCCGCTTCCTTCCTCCCCGGAGGTCGCCCTGGGCCGAGCAGATCAGCGCCGACCACCCGCTCGCGGCGGCCCACCAGATCCTGCTGCGGACGAAGAAGGTCTTGGGGCAACGGCAGGGGTGGACCGGGGCTGGACCTAAACGGTGTTTTGGCGTTTTCGTGGGCCGTTTTCGGTTCGACTTCGTTTTGCGGTAGAAGGGCGGATTGGAGACAAAAGCGAGGGAACACGAAAACAAAACGAAACGAAAATCACCGTTCAGGTTCAGCCCTGGGGTGGACTGGCCCGGGGGAGGGGGAAGCACATGGACCCCCAGATCGCCCATCCCTCGCCGGGCGGGGCCCGGGGTGGCCAGCCCCGCCCAGGAAGGTGCAGCTTGGCAATCCCGGCCCTGTCGCAGAGCAGTCGCCCGCTTATGACTGCTTTTAGGCTGTGAGATTCCCCCCCGCCTTGAGCCAAAAGCCCCCCCCGCTTCTCTTCGGACGCCCGGAGCGGGTACGGAAATGTGGATACGATGCCCAACGACGGCGGGCATGGGGAGAAAGGAAGGACGGAATGTATGGCGGGGAGAAGTGGGGAGGAGGGGGGGAGGGAATGTCGGGGGCGGAAAAGAGGGGGGTGATGACTAGGGGGGGGTGGATATCATGGCGGGGGCCATGATATTTCCCCAGATTTCAGGGCGCCTCTTCTTATTTCATTACGTCCCAGGCCCCCCCGCTGGGCCGCGCACATGCCGCTGGTCATGATTTGCACCCCCCCCTCTTGGACACCCCCCTCTTGGCCGCTCCCGAGAATGGAAGGAGGGAGGGAATGGGGGACCACGGGTTGGTCGGGTTGACCCACACGGGGGTCCAGCGACAAGGGGGTGGTGCAGTAGATCCGGTGCAACAGATTTGTGGGGCTGCAATGCATTCTGGGGCGTGCAGTGCCTCCCCGGGGCGCGAGCGTATATTGCTGGATGCTCGCGTGCAAATGCGCCACTTGCAAGACAGTGCAACACTATTCTCCGGCGCAGTACACTTGCACTACGCTTGCCCCAGATCTAGTGCACCACCCCCTTTCAGCTGGACCCCCCCGTGTTGGGCCACCCTGAGCTGAGCCCGCCGCCGCGCCTCCCTCGCCCCTGCGCTAGGGCGCGCTGCCCGGGCCCGGGCCCGACTGCCCGCGCTTCTCCGACGCGTGCCGGGACTTCGTATGGGGCCGCTGCCTGGCGGTCGTCCCCGGGGAGCGGCTGGGCGCGTCGCGGCTGCTGGCGCACGCGTGGCTGGCCAGCGGGTCGCCGAAGGCCAGGGGAGGAGCAGGTACCGAAGCTTGGAGGAGGAAGAGGTACTGGTTACCTCTACCCTTCCCTCGTTTCCCTCTTTTTGGGCCTCCTGGGAGGCCCTCGTCGCTAACGTTGTATTCGCCACGAAGCTCTGGTCAGAGTGCACTCCGGGAGAGGTCCAGGGAGTGGCGGTATCGGACCCTTGTGGTTTCCCCAGAAGCGGCGGCGAGCGAGGGGGGAGGCGAGAGGGATGAAGGACCCCCAGGCCTTCTGATGAGAAGGTTTCGGCGCCTTCCCCGAAGGCACACAGCAAACTTCTCGGAGGGAGGCGAGGGCTTCTGAGAAGGCCGTTTCGCCTTCTGAGAGGACCTTCTCTTTCTCGCTTCCCCCCTGGCTCGCCGCCGACCGAAGCCGCTGCGGAGTCGCAGGGTCGACGTCTAGAGGAAGCAAGGAGGGTTAAGCAGCGGCGCAGACATAACCTCTCGGAGCTCCCCGGCGGTCTCTTGGATCGGCGCTAGGCGCCCCCCTGAAAGCGCCTCTCGGCGCCGCCTCTGGCGCGCTCTGCGCGCCAGCGATGGAGGTCCAGCGCCGACCTGCGCAATCTGCGCAGGCCTTCGAACGGCATACGTGCATGCCGTTTTTCCCTTCTTGCAGACATTGCTGCCTTTCCCTCGTCGCCACGACTGGATTCTCCTCGAAAGACAGGTCAGGATGGATCAGCCACGCGCAGAGGGTGGTAGGGGGGGAGGGGGGAAGGCTTCTTTAGAAGCACTCTGCTTCTTAGAAGGCGCGGGCCTTGTCTATAGATGTGGAGGGCCAGCGCCTCCTAAGAAACAGCCTCTTGCTAAGAAGCAGCCTCTGGTGAGAACGCACCCCAGGACAGGTCCAGGGAGGAGCGGTCTCGGTACCTGCTTGTTCCCTAAGAAGGGGTGACGCCCGCAGCCCGTGCCCTGCTCCTTTTGTTTTCCAGGCCAGGGATTCGGTAGCAAATCATGGGAGCCTTGTGTACCCTCTTCATCCCGTCGTTCGTCTGCGTTGGCGCCGCGTAGTGTCTGGTAATCGGTGAGCCAGCTTCGATTTGGCGTCCGCTAGCATCGAGCAGCGTCGATCTGGCGTCGATCTAGCGTCGATTAGCGTCGACTCGCAGGAGCCAACCAGATGGCTTGGGAGGCTCCCCTGAGCTGCCGCAGAAGAGGGAGGCTGAGGCGGATACTCTTTTTTAGCACGGTGAGGCACGGCGTCCACCGGATCCGCTGCCGCCCCCTTGATTTATGTCGGGCATGTCCCTCTACAGGAGGAATGCTCAAGAATTGTCAAGTCAAAAAGTAGACATGGGGACGCTTTTTTTCTACTATGTTTAACTATTTTTGAGCATCTTTTTTGGTTTTTATTTTTCCCCTAGAAGATCTACCTGTGGGAGGACACGTCCGACCTAACCCTAACCGTTTCACTGCTCGTGTTTTTTTGTTTTGTTGTGCTGGGTGGTGCCGGGCGCTGCGTGCCAGGAGGACTCTTGACTGGCCAGTCCCGCCGTAGCCCGCTGTGTTCGAGCAGTGGCGAGGCGTCCTGGCTCGCCCTAAGGGCCCACCAAAGAAAGTTCTAAGAACCTTTCGTGGTTTGTACGACAAGTTCTTAGGACATTTCTGGCTGGGGCTGTCTTGTTTGAGCACATCGGGTTCATGTTCTGAGAGCATTGCTTTGGCTCTCGGAACATTTGTGGGTTCTAAGAACATGTCGTGGTAGGCCTGTAGGAATGCCAGGACGGTCGGTCCCTGCTCAATGTGTGGGCCCGCATGTTTTGCTGGCCGCTGTAGTTCTGGACCACACCGGGCGGTTTGATATTTTTGCGTCCGTGCGTCCATCTTCCGCCCCTGCGCTTGTGAAGCGTGCGGGGGCACTCACCATTCTCACCATGAGGCTTGTCAGTCGTGTTTTCCTTTCTCTCAGGCGTTTCATATCGCCGCCACTTCTGGAAGGGTCCGGGCTTATGCTTATGCTGGTGGTCCGTCAGAGCCTTCTCCTGCTGGTGCCTGAGGTACGAAAGACCCCGTCAAGAAGCAGTCATATAGGGGGGCACGGTCGCACGGAGGTAGATGGGGAGAGAAGTAGAGAGAAAGAGCGCGAGAGGGAGAGATGGAGAGAGAAGCGAATAATAATCACCTTTCTGAAGAATCCCCTTCTCGGGTGTGGGCCGGAACTCAGCCCACTTCAAACGCTTTCCTACCTCTTGTTTCTGCAGGGTCTCTGGCGCATGGTGCACTTCGGGAGCTTCGGGACGGGGGTCAATGCAAACGGGGTCAGCCAGGGCACCGGATCCTGCAGGATCCTGCGAAGACCTCGACTGGTTGACCCGGGTTAGCGAGCCGCTCGTGGCCGCGAGGCGGCCGCGCATATTTGCTGACCTGGGTTCGCGAAGACCTGCGTTGCAGTTTTTTTCCCTGCATTGCAATTTTTTGGTTTCCTGCTGACCCGGGTCTGGATTGACCGGGGTAAGAAGATCCCCGAGCCCTCCCAAGGTTTCCGACCTTTCTAGCTTTTCGGACCGCCGACACATTTCCCCGTGACCATGTACTCATCCTTCGCTGTTTTTCGTCCGTCCAAGGGCGCAGAATTTGTCTTCCCTGGTGCCGACGATGGCGCAGAAGGTTCCTCTCGGCCTTGCAGGACGGCCACTCTGGTCTTCTGGGTCGTTTGATCTGGGGCCGGCTCTTGGCCTAGGGTTGAGCTGGGCCTGTCCCTCGACGGGGGGAACATAAATATCAAACACATTGTCTGGGGACGATCTTCTTGAGCACTCATATATATATATATATATATATGATTTACACATTCACACTATTTTTAGTGTTTCGTCCAAAATCCGCCTGTAGTGGGACATGCCCGACCTAAGGCCTGGGGTAAGGAGATCTATACATATCCACCGCCACTGGCCATGCCCACCCTGGGCTGATCCTGGGCCCAGGCTCGATTCTCATGTGCCTCCCCGCGCAAGCCAGGGGGACGTACACACCGCTTGAGGGCCCAGGGTGGGCCTGGCCAGGGGCAGTAGAAATACGAGATTATCTGCATCTCTCTATATCTATACATATATAGAGGTATGCGTGTACGCATCTAATCATGCGCACCTCTTCCTAGGGAGTAGAGCTCAGAGGCGGTTCATTGGAGCCTTCCTGTTCGCGATAATTTTGGCAGTTTCGCTCGGGACCATCCTCAGCAT